CGAGATCCAAAATCCAAGGGCAAGGGTTTCAATGCGGTGGACCTAGCTGCGGCTGATGATGCTTTCCCGCTATTACGTGGTATGATATCTGCGATTCCCGAAACCAAGGGTGATGTTCACGCCAACGATGCGAGTACCGACTAAACGAGATAATACGTGCCAGAGAGGTTTGAGACGACAACCTCGTTCCCATCCCTGGTAACACAGGGGAGTGATCCGACCAGAGCCTAGTATCATCCTCGCACGCAGCAATTTTGAGATCGAGCGCATGCGACCATCACCTTGCGCAAGGCCGCGACTGGGACTTGGCAATTTACCTTGCCGACGCGGCCAATCACAGTAGGGTCCCACAGCAGCAGCAAGTGCAGCACCGCAAGTAAGCAATTCCTCGGCTGCGTTCCTCGGCAAGGGTGAGATTAGGGGGTTTTAGTCGCCCTAGTTGGGTTTTAGTCGCTCTAGTAGGCCCTCTTCCGAAGTTCCTGCGTTTGTATTTCTCCACGGCTTGTGCCAGGGGAATGGCGGACGACTGTTCGTTTCGAATTTTGGTTTCGCGCACTGATTCTGGCTGCCAGCGAAGGCAACCAGACCCGGAATAAAGACAAAACCCAACAGGCAGTGGGCAGGCTGGGTATTTGCTTGCTTGCAGCTATATTGCTGAGGGCTGGTCTAGTATGCGGAAAAGCGAAGCTCGAGATCAGAGGCCACTCAAAGATCAGCGCCATCGTCAACCCCGACCCAGCAGGGGATATCCTGGCCATGGCAATCCTGGCTGTGGCACGAAGTAATGCATTTTGCTTGCCCGTTTACGAAATCCTTCCAGTGTTGATGAGTCCGCTTCGCGACACGCATAGCATGTTCTGGATCAACAGCCTTACCGTCAAGAGCGTAAACATTCTCTGGTTTTCCTTCTGCTGTCTTGTACATCTTAAACCAATTGCGGATCTCGTCGATGCGGGTTTGGGGGATTTCATCGATGTGACGCCACTTCGTGGCATCTTTCTCAGCAACATCATCCACATTGACCACCAACAACTTCCAGTCAGTTTCTCCACTATCAACGAGTGCCAAAGCACCGAGTACGCGCACGCGATGGACGGAGCCCCGGCGACAGGGCTTTGAGTTGAGCTGGAGTACATCGATAGGGTCGTTGTCGCCA